ACTGTTTTCTTGTCCTTCTCCCTCTGGCATCAGTAAAAATAGAAGACTAAGGACTGGTATTGGTTGGGATCCAGTGGAAAGCAGAGCTACCCTAGGTCCTGGGACATGAGGGGACATTGTTGCTCCAGAGGATAAGAGTCACCAGCCCTGGTACTAACAGTTCAGAGAAAACCTAGTCAGTCACATGGGTGTGGCTGCACATGCACAGTTCAGTTTTATAAAGAATTCATGAGGAGTCTTTGGGTGGAGAAGGATGTTCAGAGTTGGGTTGTAGTACTCTGTGGAGATCAGATCTTAAGGTCTGTGTCCCCCAAAGTGCTACCTGATTTAGACTCAGTCCTGGCAGAGAACTTGAGATTACATAAGGTATAGCACAGTCTTCCTGTAAAAAACAGTAGACATGACTGCATGTTAACAGCTATAAGGACTAACTCACGAGTCCTAACACCATTTTACAAAAGCACAGAAAAAATGGTCAGCTATTGTGGTTATTTATTTATTCTGGCACTGTGGTTGAACTCAGGCCCTCACACTGTCCCATTGAGTTGTGTAGCTAATATGTTACTCTGGCCTCTCATGGTGTTTAGGAAGCATGCTAAATGTGGGATGGAGGGATGATGATTGGAATAGTCTCTGTTCTCACAGAGCTTGTAAAAGGAGAATACAATCAACCACTAAGCAAGGAAATAGATCACATGGTTTGGGTCCACACATGGCGGACAGACTTCTCACTGTCCAATCTGAGGCCACATTCTGCTTCCAGACTTGGGAGAAACACCAAGGTGTTCAGTGTTCCTAGGTGCCTGCATTAGAGTCTTCTGATGGAGACATCTTAGGGACAGTTATAAGAGCTGAATCTAGAGAGATGAACCCTAATCCACAGGCATGGGACTGCTAGACAAGTGCTTTACCATTGAGCTACAGCAGCCGCCCCAAGATTCAGGTCAAAAAGGGGAAGAATACAGAATTCAGAATCTGACAGATGGTGTCAATGTTTTGCTGGGTCTGGGTATTATCACATCTTGGGAACCTCTTTAAGAAGAATACAAAATTAACCGGACATGGGGGCATAAGCCATTAACCCCAGGACTCAGGAAGCAGAGGCAGGCAGAGCTCCTTGAGTGTGAAGCCAGCCTGGTCTACAAAGTGAGTTCCAGGCCAGCTGGGGAGACCCTGTCTCAAAAAGACAAGAAGAAAAAAGAAAGAAGAAGGAGGAGGAGGCGGAGGAGGCAGAGGAGGAGGAAGAGGAGGAGGAGGTGGTGGAGGAAGAGGAAGAGGAGGAGAGAAGGAGGAGGAGGAGAGGAAGAGGAGGGGAGGAGGAGGAGGAGGAAGAGGAGGAGGAGGAGGAGGAAGAGGAGGAAACAAAATTAAGAATAGAAAATCAGGGGCTAGAGAGATGGCTCAGCAGTTAAGAGCACTGACTGCCCTTGTAGAGGACCGGGGTTCGATTCCCAGCACCCACATGGCAGCTATGAACCGTCCTTAACTCCAGTTCCAGGGGAATCCGAAGCCCTCTTCTGACCGCCATGGCACTGCATGACACGGGTGCACTCATATACATGCAGGCAATACACTCGTACACATAAAATAAAAATAATAAAATATTTTTTAAAAAGAATAGAAAATCAGGCAAAAGGCCGGGTGTGGTAGCACAAGCCTCTAAACCCAGCACTCAAGAGGCAGAGGCAGGCAGATCTCTGTGAGTTCAAGGCTAACCTGGTCCACACAGTGAGTTCCAGGCCAGCTGGGGCTACAGGGAGACCCTGTCTCAAAAAGACCAAAAAAAAAAAAAAAAAAAAAAAAAAAAAAAAAATCAGGTACAAAATTAAAGTGATAAATGCATCACAGTAAGTTACTTTTTTGGTTTTTATTTATCTGTTTTTCAGAAATGTATAAGTTTTTCAAAAATGTATGTATTGCCTGCACAAGTGTAAGCACACCAGTGTCAGTGGCAAAGCCTGCGGCGGTCAGAAAACAGTTGTTGGATCCCCTGGAACTAGAGTTACAGATAGTTGTCAGCTGCCATGTGGGTTCTGGGGATGGAACCTGAGTCCTCTGCGAAAGCAGTCAGTGCTCTTATCTCTCTTGCCCCTTGTTTTTGTTTTTGGTTCTTTGTTTTTGTTTTTTTTGGTTTTTTTTTTGTTTTGTTTTTGGTTTTTTTTGAGACATGGTCTCTCTGTAGCCCCAGCAGGCCTTAGCTATGTAGACCAGGTTGGCCTCAAATTCAGAGAGATCTGCCTGCCTGTCTCCTGAGTGCTGGGATTAAAGGTATGTGAAATGACATATTTTAAAAGGCTAACAAGCACTGTAAACTTCAACAAAACCCCTAAGAAAATGTTAGAATCCTAACTGAACTGCTTGGCACAACTTTATAACACTCACTCGCTCATTTTCCTGTACTTTTTAAGCTGCAGAATCTCTGGCCACTTCTTCAGGTCTGTGATATATTTCCTATAGGAAGAGTAGAGACACGTGTGTGGAATTGGTGCTTTATAGGATAACTACAGACTTGCTGCCTTACAAACATGGGAATTCAGATCAACTCTATTTCAAGGTAGATGTGTTCATAAATGTATCTGTTGTGTTCAGAGTATATTCCTGTCATTTGACCAGGCATCAAACCTTCCAGCAACAACATGTGCTTTACAAAGGAAGGTATTACAGCAGTTGAGCTCCTATTTTGTTCACCTCAAACACAGCACCTCTTTGCTACTGGACCCTCTGGTGCTGGGTAGAGGTGAAATTTACAAGACTCTCCTTTAAAGCCACAATTGTGGCCCTGGCCACTGTTCCCACACCTGTGTGGGTAGTATTCTGCAGCCATGAAGGAGAATAAAAGGTGTATTGCATACCAGCAGGGCTGAGGCCGAAGAGAGACTCAGGCTCATGAGAAGGGTCCTAGTTGTTCTTGGCTTCAGGTGCCTCCAAGAGTAAGGGCTTCCTCGACACCTCCTGAACTGCCTTCCTCCTGGCTCTATGTCCCATTAAACACAAACAAAATGCCTCTCCAGCCTTACTTTCCTTGGCTTGATTCTCAAAATGTTCATGGTTACTTCAAGGCCACTCCATATGCAGGTACATTAGAGTTAAAATAGACAATGGGGCTAACCCATGGTAGTTAAAATGCAAATATTTTTCAATATTTATAGAAACATATTACCAGGTGCCCACATTGCTAGGTCTCCTAAGAAAGCAAGAGCTTGCTGCCAGACATGAATAGGAGCCAATACTATAGCAATGGTTGAAAAAGAAAGCTTTATTGTTGGGTCAACCATCAAGGAGACAGGAGGCACTCAAATCTGTCTCCTTGATCTGCCAGAGAATTCCAGTAGCCCAAGGGTACAGAGTAACAGAGAGTGGGTTGGTTGTAACTTGGGAGTTTCCAGTCTTTCTGCTGTTCTGGTCTGTCCTATAGTGTCTGTAGACGGCATCCTAAGCTTCTAATCTGTTCCAAGATGCCCTGTTCTGTTCTTTAGATTCTGGGTGGGAGACTTTTGATTCTCTGGGCTCTTAAGGCCATTTTAGGTCAGGTCCTAGTGTTCTGTATCTAATAGCCTGCATTACAGCTTTATGGCCCAGCAGTATGGAAACCTTGCATGATGCGCTCTGGCAGCCAGGGCCCTGGATTCAAGGTCTCACCTTTTGACAAACCTGTAAACACCTTTGCGTTCCTGTGGCCAGGTCATCTTTTCCAGTCTCACTTACCATACCTATATATGCATATAGGATTCTGGTTAGCACCTTGGCACTGTCATTTCCTATTTGGGACTCAAACATGGCACTTAACATCTCTATACCTCAAGTTATCCTGGCTGTAAAATTGATACAGGAAATACTGAGATGAAAGGAATTAGTTTTGGCAGAGTGTTTGCAACAGTGTCTGGTGCAAAATAAAGACTCAATATTTACTAGTTGTCTTTATTACTAGTAGAGTAATATTCATGTTAATAACACATGGCTATTCTCATTCACAAACATGGAGCATTAGTGCCCTGGCCAGGCCCAGAAGGGGACAGAGATAGGAGAGGGAAAGAAAAACAGACTATTTGTTTTTTAGATAATAGTAACGTGGCCAAATTGCACTTAATTGAAGCAACTGGGGCTGTTAAGGACATTTGCTGGACCTTGAGTGTATTTACAGCATGCCAAAGAGAGGGAGCACAAACAAAGGGGGGGGGTATCCTTTACCCAAATGAGAATCAATGACTTTAGAAGAAAAATACAATCGTCTGTAGTCAGACTTAAGGTAAATCCTGCTCACTAAGAGGACAACCCCAGGACACTTCTCTCCCCGCTTGGGTGACTGGTGAGCCAGTCTGGGCCCACAGCAACCCACCCCTCCGAAGCAAGGCACTAATGTGGAGGAGCAAGGGCAGCAAGGGGAACAGGGAGAGGAAGGAGGAGCAGAGCAAGAGGGAGATGGGGGAAGGAGAGACGGTGGAAGAGAGGCAGAATGGGGATCAGGGGAGGAGGGAGAAGGAGGAGAAAAAGCAGGGGGAGCCTGGGTAACAGCAGTAGGATAGGAAGAAGGGGGCAGGGCTGGGGGAGCTGGAGGGGCAAAGAGAGGAGGGGAAACCGTGAGCTTGGGAAGACGAGAAAGGGAGGAGGGGAAGGGAAAGGGGAGGAAAGGGAGCAGGGTTCAGGGGTAGCTGGGGTCAGAGTGGGCTAGTGCCCCGCGACCCGCCCGGCCAGCCGGAGTGCAGGAGCGCAGAGCGCCGGTAGGGGCGCTGTGGCCTAGGCGCAGGGACGGCGCCGCCGGACCCGCCTCTTTCCCCGCCCGCCCTTGTCGCTGGGGAGCCGGGCGGAGCAGG